GGGCAACTTGTTGTATCTCTAAAATAGCTTTGGCCCTCAAATTTTTATTGTCATCGCTACAATTCAATTGTTTGGGAGTCATGCAAAGAGTCCAATACCTCTTTAAACCCAAGATGCCTTCAGATACTGAAAAAAAAGAAAAAAAAAAAAGAATACGTGGACTTAAGTGACTCTGTAAGCGTTTCTGTTTTCCTTCTACTCTTAAAATTCAGTTCTGTTCTCAGGCCCTTTCTCTGTTGATCATTATCTAAATATTCTACCCAGAAGTGAGCCCAGTAGTCCAGGAATTGTCTAGTTCTGATGTCTTCTTCTGTTTTTTTTTTTTTTTTTTTCTTCTTCTTCTTCTGTTAATTAATGAACCTTGGAATTGAGTTGCTGGTTTGAGGTGTGGGGGAGGGACAGTTTCCATTTCATTGTTGGCTCCTTGAATATGGTGTTGATTGCAACCCCTAGGTTTTTCATGGTTTGCTTCTGTATTTGTGCTCAAGAACTGACTTATATTTATTCCTGAGAAAATCCGTCTTGTCAGATTGGGCTCATCGTTTCAACCATCCCTTGTGGTTTTATGTCATTGGCATCCGAGACAGTGGAAGCTGTGTTGAGGAGGCCAGAGCCGAGGACAGAATTTTTTAGTCTTGCAGTTAGATCTGTATCAATGCTTTCCATATTTTTTAAGTTCATCAGTGCTTTTTGATAGTATGCTTTTTGAAGGAGCACATTTAGAAACCATTTTTTTCTGTTAAATTGTTTGTTATATTTAATGACATTCTCTGAAGAATCTCAGAAAAAGAAAAAAGACTCTTAACTTTGACTAAATTTTATTAGCCATATGGTCAGTAACAAGTACATGTAGAACACTGAGAATATGCTTAACTTCTTGAGATATGAAGTCATATTTGCGTCTTTGGTTTAGATAGTGTTATAAACATTACTTATTTTTGAACCCTTTTTAGTATTTCAAAATAATCATAATAATTCAAAGTGTGGACTTTGGAGTAAGACTGCCTGGGTTGAACACCAGTCTCCATCTGAAGTAACCTTGGGAGAGTAAAGTTCATCTTTCTGAGCCTCAGTCTGCTTGTCTGTAAAATGTGAATTAAAATAATGACCATCTGTTGGATTTATTTTTAGGAGAAAATGAATATAAGACACGTAGCAATAAATAATAAGTTCTCAATAAAAGTTATCTTTCATTAGTCTTATTTTTTAAATATTACAAAGTAATTTTGGCCTTTCATAAAATAATTTTAGCTATAAGCTTTTAAATGTGTCTAAAAATTAATTGGTGATATGTTTTAATTGTGACCCACAATGCAAGTTTTAGATTTTTTTTTTTAGACCATTACATGCTCTAGGAAAAGTTGAATATTTAAGTATTTTTCCTTTTATTATTACTAATCAGGTCCAACCTACTTCAGTTGATCTGGTTGTACAATTAAAGCCCAAAGCAGAAACTCTATGTTGTCAAATCCTCTCCTAATAATGGCCATGTTTTTCTTTCTTTCTCAACAAGATCTCATAAAACTTCAGATTCTGATTGAAATTATGTTTCTAGCTAGCTTTAAGGGTTCCTTTAAAAGTCTGTTTTCATAATTATAGTCTATGTCTTTATAATGACTCATTTCCCTGCAATGCATTTCATTCTCAAGTAATTCTGATGCATAAACCAAGAAGTTATCTGCACATTCAGCTCTTCCTTTTTTTAGGGAAAGGCCTCTTCAAACCCAGTATGATAAACGTCAGTCTTTTTCTTTTTTTCTTGTTACATGATCTCCTTCAGTATTAAAACTTGTCTGTATTGTTGATCTGCCCTTACCAAAAGTGACATAGCAGTAAAGAATCAAGTACTCTGTTACAAAATAAGATGTCCTGAGAAAGGCAAACGTTCTTTCAAGAATGTTGAAAGGAATAAACATTAATAGTTGAAAAGTAGGTAAAATCCAGGGGTTTCCATTGGCTTGGGCGTGTGCTCATGCTTGCTTAACTCCAAATTAGGTTAAACTCTGAATTTTTTGAGATGAGCAGAAGAGGAGGAGATGGCAGTGAGGGTTAATGGTCAGTGGGAAGTTACCCAGGCGAAGGCTGGGAGGGTGTCCGTGGACGGAGGCCTGGGGTGGGGGAGGCTGCTTAATAATGAATATGGAAGCCTTGAAGGGCGTTAAGCAGAAAAGTGAGGTTTCCTTGGAAAGATATTCTGACAACTCTGGCAAGCAGGGTGCCTCTGTTACACACACTCTAGGTTTGGGGTGTAAGTAGTACAAAGAATCATGAACCATGGAGAACCAACTGCTACCCCCTGTGCTTTTCCTGAAAATGCTCTTGCCTTGTTTTAGATTGGTGAGTTAATCCAGTCCTTCCCGGGATCCCCTAGTTCTGCCTCAGGTAGTGGGTCAACTAATGCTTGGTCATCATTTTCTCAGGAATTAGTTCTGCAAGGAGGAGGCATCTGACACGGGTCTGACTTCCTCTGCAGGTTCCTGGTGAGATTGTCCCTTTGTGAGGAAATTTGACGTCCTCTAACGGGGGAGAATGGCCTGAGCTCTTGCCTTAGGGGGCTCTGGGTTACACATTATGTCTCCCTAGGTGTGTTAGAGGCTACATTTATCTGTGCAGCAAGAATACAAGACATACTCATTGTGTGTTCTTTGGTGAGTTGGCACGATGTCAGCTGAGAAAAGTGCCCCTCCTTGAAAGTCGCTCAAAGCAGATGTTAAGGAGAAGACAGCCCCACCAGGCCCACAGTGACTGGACTCTTCCTGTAATAGAGGTTATAAACTGGGTGCCCCGTCATCTTGTACTCCCAGATTTTGTTTAGATGAAGTCTCATGAGCGTTTCCCATAGACTAGGTTGGGCCATGAACACCAAAGAGTGGGAATGAGATTGATTCAGGTCCTGTTCAATGGAGCACTTGACAAAAACTAGATTCTAGACGCTGCATAAGGAATGTATGCAATGCTAGCTTCATGGGTGTGCAACCTGGGCAGATGCAAAGGGCCATGCACTTAGGAAGGTCCCTTGCTTGGTTAAGTGGTATGATGGCACCATCTTGGAATTCTTAATTTTTGAGTTAAGAGCCCTATGTTTTCATTTTTTACTGGGCCTTACAGATTATGTAGTCTGTCCTAAATTTATGAGCTACATTAAGGGAAACTATAGATGAAGAGACCCCAGCAGTGGGACGACGGGGTGGTGGCCCTCTAAAGTCACCAGGCACTTCATAGGGAAGCAGTAGGCTTTAAATATTTACTGCACTAAGTTGGTAAGGATAGCGTTCAAACTGAACCAGTCGGATAGAGTCATCTGCTCTTCTCACCTCCATCTTCATCATCGACCTCCAGGCCCTTCTCACCTAGAGAGAACTAACACCACCTAGAAAGGGAGACTAGTGTCCCCCCTTAGACACTTGCCTAAAGGGAGAAAGGTTTTCATAGATCCTCTTTTCCCAGGTGGTACACGTTACCCTGCAGCCAATCCTTGCTGCGGAAAGGAAGTTGTCCTACCACTCAAGTTGGATGTTTTAATAAAATCGAAATGGGTTTATGCCCTACAATGACTGTAGGACTTGTATTGGAGAAAAGTAAGAGGAAAAAGAAAAAGTAAGAGAAAAACCATAGGAGTATCTCAAGTTTTTATCCAGGGTAGGGGACGAACTAGTACATTGAATAAAAAGTAAAAGAAAAGTGAAGGAAGGAAGGCAAAGTGAAATCGCTTTTGAAATCGCATCTTGGAAGTGACACTTCATGTATTGATCACTTCATTGAACTTGAAGAATCGAGAAATAGCAAATGCTTTTTGACTCCTAAGTCGGGTTGACTTGTAAGTTTAAAACAATCCTCTGAAAGCTAGCTGAAATTTAACGGTGGAACTGGGCTTTCTGCAAACTATATTTCTTAATCTAGTTTGGTAATAGGAAAAGAAATGTTAGATTTTCCCATTTGTCATTTGCCCTTGTGTTTATCTAGTTGTTGGCTTGCCCACAGTGGTCTAAAAATGGAAAAATCTAGTTGTTTAATGCAGCTACTTTTAAAGTGAGGAAGTTTATGTAATATTTCTTTAGAAAACACATTTAACATTTTGGACAATTAGCTTGATTTATTGTAAAGTCATTTAGTTTTTCCGCTGGCAGTGACACAGGATAATTTTTTTTCTGGTGGCTATTCCACATGACCTGAGTTTGGAAAATGTTGCTCGTTTCAGTATGTTTCTAGTATTTTCCATCTTATGCAAAGACTGTTGTAGGCTAATTATAGAAAATTGCATTTAGTGCCATGTGGATGTGAAATTAACTTTGACGCTGAAGGACTGACACTGAGAGTGAAATGAGGTTACATTCTTTTCTGGGACTCTGGGAACTCCATTGTAATGCCCTTCAACAATGAGGAGATATTTGCATCTTAAATCTTCTAGAGGTTTTTGTTGTTGTTGTTGTTGCTTTGTCAGACTTCACAAAATATGAATGTTGGTGACTCTTTGACATAAAAATCCCATGAAGTATTTTCTTCTTTAGCAAAGATCCTTATTAATTCTGACTATACAAAACTTGTAGATTTATATTTGGTGACTTAGCTTGATAAGTATTAGGTGAAATAGAAGTTCTATCAGGATATAATTTCACTTTTGAACTTTTGCTAAAAGTTATTTTAATTGTTGGTACTTCTGACTTGACCTTAAATGAAAAAAGACTGTACCTAAAACACAGATCCTTGAAGAAATGTGCGTCGTGGGGAAAAAAAGAACTGTATTTGCATCATTCGTAACTTAAAAGACATTCTTAAAGGAAGGAAATTCGAATGTCCACTGAGTGAGTGGCATGCCAGGCTGGTCAGGGATTGGGGTCACATTCCCTCACTTCTCGCTCAACTGCCCGAAATCCTACGTAAGCCGTTACTCAAAACAGTTGTGAATACCATTTGGAAAAGTAATCATGAAACCTTCTTATAAATATCTTTCTGTATATTTTTCTTTCTTTCTTCAATACATTCCTCTGATTTCGTTCTAGGCTCGCAGGAAGGAGGTATTTATCCAGGAACGGTATGGGAGATTTAATCTGAATGACCCATTCTTGGCACTGCAGAGAGACTATGAGGCAGGTGCCGGCGAGAAAGAGAAGAAGCCAGTTTGTACCAACCCCCTCTCCATCCTTGAAGCGGTCATGGCCCACTGCAGAAAGATGCAGGAGAGGATGTCCACGCAGCTGGCTGCTGCTGAAAGCCGACAAAAGAAGGTATTGAGTCTCTCACACAGTCATTTTTTTCCTCCAGCACCGCGTCGAATGAAGAAACCATCTCCAGGCATGTTGCCTGTTCTTTAATCTGGTCATTTTCAATAAGGGTGAGGATAAATGCCTCAAAATGCAAAATGTGGAGAGATTCTGGTGGCCTCTTTCAAATATAATTCAGGAATAACACTGAGCTATAAAATAAATATTACAAAGAAATTATGTTTCTTATAAAGGTTACTTTGGTGCTGTCTTTAAAATATGCAGGTGTTTTTTTTTTTTTTATTTTTTGATTTCCTTTTTCTAGTGCCATAAGACGTGCTCAGCGGCTGGGTGGGGGATCGTTATTTGAACCAAGATTCTTTTTCTTTTTTTTTTAGTAGTTTTTTTTGGCTTTTTTTTTTTTAAAGATTTTATTTATTCATTCATGAGAGACACTGAGAGAGTGAGAAAGAGAGAGAGAGAGAGAAAGAGAGAGAGAGAGAGAGAGGCAGAGTCATAGGCAGAGAGAGAAGCAGGCTCCATGCAGGGAGCCCCATGCAAGACTCGATCCCGGGACCCTGGGATCATGCCCTGAGCTGAAGGCAGACGCTTAACCGCTGAGCCACCCAGGACTCCCCTAGAACCAAGATTCTGATCAGACAGTGGCACCCCCAACTTCTTTATCCAGCTTCTGTCTCAACTATTTCTTTGCAACTAGAAATTACTTTTTTTTTTTCAGTGATGTCTTTGGAAAATGAAATTAGCATGAGGAGAATAGAATGAAATTTGTGTGGTATATGCAGTCTCACAACGTGTCATTTGAAGTCCTGGTTAGTCTCAGACTCGCCTCTGGGGGCTGGTGGCGGTGTCTGCTGCAGACCTCCAGGCTCCTGCTCACATGTGTTTCATTTAAACTAACCTCCTCGCCCCTTCTCACCTCCCCCACCAACACACACTCACACACGTATTTACTGTACTTGAGTACACGCTTCAAAGAGTCCTAAGTGATAAAAAAACTTACTGACTTACTGCCATCAGCCGTAAGGAAATGGAGGTTTAAATGTTGTCCTTCTGATAGGCTGCCAAGACTACTGATTGCGTTTATTAGAAGAGGGTAAGGAAGTCAGAGAGGCTAATATCGTCCAGAGTGATGAGAATTTAAAGTGATCTGTTCTTCCATCCATCATTAAAGCATAGGTTTAAATGTTTCCTCTATTTTTCCTTTTCAGAGAACTAGTTATAGTTCACACGTAACACCTGGTGGATGATTAACCTGAGTGCAGCATACTGTAAATATTTATGATGCTGTCATTTCATATCCTTGCATTGACATATGTGTGCCCGTGCTCCGGGATAGGTGTGGACGGAAAGCAAACCTCATCTTCAGTATGTCAGGAGGTAGAAAGCTAAAGCACTGGGTAATTAGTACAGAGGGATAGAAGGCCTTCCCCGGATGTGCGGCAAAACCAAACAGTTTTACTCTGGACTTTTGCAGACCCTTTGCGAAGCCCTGCAGACGACCACTGAGGTTACTGGAGATTTTCAGAAATCCCCAGGAACCGCACGAGCGAGAGCCAGTATATTTCAGCTGATGTCACTGGAGCTCGTTTGTGTTTCTTGGATGAGGCACGTTTCACTTATATTCTTAACGTGTCAAATGAGCTATTTCATAATAAAGTGTGCCTTCTGGGTTTTATGCTGCGTGATCAAAAATCAAGAAAATATTTTGTTTTCATTGTAATTTGCGTTCAATGTATGAAAATGCATGCTTTTCCTAAATTTTACTTCAGTTTTGCATTCATACCTACCATTTCTCTTGTCGGAGAAAAAGGAAGGGACTCATTTCAAGTCGAATCAAAGATTTTATTATCTGGCTGATTTTTTTTTTTTTAATCAACTTACATCCTGTTTGTTTCTGAATGACTGGGTCATTTCCAACCTGGCTGGGAGTGAAAGGAAATTGTTTCTGTCCTATGGGTCCTGAGAGGCTCATACGAAATGAGCCAGTGATCTGTCTCCCATGTATAACGGGGAGACAGGAGTCCTTTATGGTCAAATTCATTGGCCTGCGTAGTCTCAGTGAAAGGTTGCTCTGATAGGCAATGCTGCTCTTTATCCATAAAGAATATTCTCTCCTGGTAGATCATAGCATGTGAGAAGTTACACTTTGTACTCTTATCCTGACTCTTTACTTATAAAGAAAACATCACATCAGCTGATAAGAGCAGAAACACCAAGGTCATCTTTTTAGCACCAAAACTACCTGTCACGCTGTTCATCTTGAAAGTAAATATTTTTATCCAAACATCTTCACTTCTCTTGCATATAGAATAAATTGAAGCTATAGGAATCTAAAAGCGGCAAGACAAAAGAAATCCATTATTTTAAATGAGTCCAGTTCTTTAAATTACTGCCAGAGCAGAAGTTGGGGAAAGCAAAGGTCCCATTATCTACAATTCAAGTATTTATTATCTGACACTGGCCATAGCTCTTTGGTAATTCTAAGACATTTGGCCTGAACACTGCTCTGGTTGGCCTTTCAAGGCTGGAGAAGAGGCTCCATGCTCATTCATGCATTGATTCCTGCTGAGACTACTAATAGGAGGGTTAACTGTTTGGTAATTTGTGTGCCAGGAAAATTTGGGCAAGAGTCAATTTGGCAAATGCACTAAAGCCTGTAAAGCCACTTTGAATAAGCTAATGAGTAATCATCGTGGGGAACTTTGCCTCCAGTAATCTACTTTCTGTTTAGAGCCAGTAACCTAGGGTGAAATGATATTTGGGTTTTTATTATTTATCATGTGCATCATATGCTAATGGAATTTCCATGCTAATTTATTTTCAATCATTTATTCATACTTATAAAGTACAATTTCTAGCCCTGGAATAGGAAAGACCTTTTAATTTGAACAGAGCCTTTCAAAGTCAGAAGCCAAAATAATAACTAGGAAATTCAAAAGGGAGGATTTTTTTTTTTTAACCAGTGAAAAAAACTTAACAGTCCCTCTGTGTAGTAGCTATGGCTTCTAGGTGGCAGCTTAGTATAATGAGGTACGCTGAAAGGCACTAGCTGTGCCAGGTAGGATTTTTAGTTGTGAGCTAGTGAAGCTGGTATTCATGGGGTTAAACAGGAAAGCATTTTGGTTGGTTTAATGGTAGAGCATGGCTGGGAAAGCTAGGGGACCAGGTCTTAATGAGCTAGCATCACTGACAGGTGACCAGTGTCAAGCGAGTCTGCAGTGGGTAAGGCTTCTGCTGATGAGAGGTGAGGACTGTAGCTTGCTGACACCAGACAGCATGACTACATCATGCTCTAGGTCTTGAGTGGGGCCTCCCCCAGCCCTGCTCTTTGCATCACTCACTTCCAAGTTGAAGCCTAAGAGCAGATGCGTTTGGTTGTCCAAGCTTAGGCCCCACACCCTCTCCCTGGCTACAGGGAAGTCCAGGAAAGCAGCTATTGGGCATGTTTAGCTTCTAACAGGGGAGAATCATAAGGTAGAGAATTCTTCTAAACATAGGAAGGAGTTACAGGTGCTAGACAACCACAGAAATGACAAATGAGCCAGAAAAGAACAATCGAATTGTTTTTAATTTATTTCATATGCCTTTTTCTTCCTGTGATGAATAATTGTACTTGGTTCTGCCATTTGTTATTCAATACTCTCTACTTCATTATAGCGGTTGCCTCGTAACATAGAAATACAATTTAACTTTAAGTTGCTTTTTAGACTTTCAAGAATAAAATGATAGAGAATCATCTAAAATAATATTTTTTAGAAAGAATATTTAGGATACCTTGTATGAGAATAGTTTGGTTTTTTTTTTTTAGCTCATTCATGAATATTTTTTATAAACAGTAATTCACTATGACTTCCCAGGAGCGTTGCGGAGTGATTAGTAAAGGGGGAGCTGGAGACTAAGGTCTGTGGCTCTGAGCAGAGATTTCGAAGAGAGGGTAGTTGGCTGGATCCATGTCTTGCCCTCCCTCTCTTGAAACTCTAGATCAAGAGGAAGAATTAGAGGAGAACTGCAGAACCTGGATGATAGCTATAACCCCTGTAAAGAAAAAAAATCTTTCCAGGTATCTTATTGTTATATATTTGTTGACTAAGATTGGGCAGATGGGTGGGGGTGACCAGGTGGAGGAGGGAACAAGGATGCAATGAGTACTGAATGATTTGGGGGAGCAATGTGGGATGTAGTTTAATGCCATAGGAGTACTTTGTGGTTCGGACGCGTGCGCTCTGCTTTCTCGCTTTACGATTGACCGTAATTGCTTTCCTCTCTTTTCCGCTTTGAATTAGAACTAATTGCCTTTACATTGCTGCTCTGCTCCCACCTACATAGTTTTCCCTTTCATTCTGTAAAAAACAGTTGTTTGGTGTTTCTTCATTCATGGCTTCCAGTCTGGGTGCTATTCTTGGAGCAACCGCCCACTTTCTCACCACCAATGAAGCTGTCTTAGTTCTTCTAAGCTCTTCCACACAATCCACTGCTTTTTTTGCAAAAGGGTTTGGCGATACTGCTCATGCAAAAATTCCCCTTCAGGGAATTGGGCCACTACTTGAAAATGGTTATAAGTAGATACAAATTGGACAGTAATATAACAAAGTCAACTGGGACTCCATAACCTATGTATATAGGAGGTGAGGACTCCTGTATAATTATAATAATATGTATTTGAGTTGGGGGTTATCTCTACCCGCCTCATTAGGGTCCACGGCCCCTGGATCGCTGCTCAGAACCACCCCAGATTGAGCCCCTGAGAGCTCCTTTAAGCTGGCTCCTTTTGATGCGTTTTCATCATTCTTTGAGTACTTCCTTATTTTCTTGCAGCAAGATATTCCAGGCTCATATTTTTCCTATCCCATTTTTCTGGAATTAGCTATTAGTCCCAGGACCACTAGTTTCCTTTTTAATGGAAAGTAGTATTTAGAAACAAGCCTAGAGTTAGGAAATTAGGTATCCTTATCATAATCCTATCTATTTTTATAAACCCACATATTTATATTTATATGTCTCTT